TATGTGACTGCCAGTCGTATGGTGACAGTATGTGACTGTCAGTCGTGTGGTCACAATACGTGGCTGTCAGTCGTGTGGTGAAAATATGTGGCTGTCAGTCGTGTGGTGACAATATGTGGCTGTCAGTCGTGTGGTGACAATATGTGGCTGTCTGTCGTGTGGTGACAGTATGTGGCTGTCAGTCATGTGGTGACAGTATGTGACTGTCAGTCGTGTGGTGACAAGATGTGGCTGTCTGTCGTGTGGTGACAATATGTGGCTAGCAGTCGTGTGGTGACAGTATGTGGCTGTCAGCCGTGTGGTAACAATATGTGGCGGTCAGTCGTGTGGTGACAATATGTGACTGTCAGTCGAGTGGTAACAATATGTGGCTGTCAGTCGTGTGGTGACAGTATGTGGCTGTCAGTCATGTGGTGACAATATGTGGCTGTCAGTCGTGTGGTGACAATATGTGGCTGTCAGTCGTGTGGTTACAATATGTGTCTGTCAGTAGTGTGGTGACAATATGTGGCTGGCAGTCGTGTGGTAACAGTATGTGGTTGTCAGTCGTGTGGTGACAATATATGGCTGTCAGTCGTGTGGTGACAATATGTGGCTGGCAGTCATGTGGTGACAATATGTGGCTGTCAGTCGTGTGGTGAAAATATGTGGCTGTCAGTCGTGTGGTGACAATATGTGGCTGTCAGTCGTGTGGTGACAGTATGTGACTGTCAGTCGAGTGGTGACAATATGTGGCTGTCAGTCGTGTGGTGACAGTATGTGGCTGTCAGTCGTGTGGTGACAATATGTGGCTGTCAGTCATGTGGTGACAGTATGTGACTGTCAGTCGTGTGGTGACAATATGTGGCTGTCTGTCGTGTGGTGACAATATGTGGCTAGCATTCCTGTGGTGACAGTATGTGGCTGTCAGCCGTGTGGTAACAATATGTGGCAGTCAGTCGTGTGGTGACAATATGTGACTGTCAGTCGAGTGGTAACAATATGTAGCTGTCAGTCGTGTGGTGACAATATGTGGCTGTCAGTCATGTGGTGACAATATGTGGCTGTCAGTCGTGTGGTGACAATATGTGGCTGTCAGTCGTGTGGTGACAGTATGTGACTGTCAGTCGTGTGGTGACAATATGTGGCTGTCAGTCGTGTGGTGACAGTATGTGGCTGTCAGTCGTGTGGTTACAATATGTGTCTGTCAGTAGTGTGGTGACAATATGTGGCTGGCAGTCGTGTGGTAACAGTATGTGGTTGTCAGTCGTGTGGTGACAATATATGGCTGTCAGTTGTGTGGTGACAATATGTGGCTGTCAGTCGTGTGGTGACAATATGTGGCTGTCAGTCGTGTGGTGACAGTATGTGACTGTCAGTCGTGTGGTGACAATATGTGGCTGTCAGTCGTGTGGTGACAGTATGTGGCTGTCAGTCGTGTGGTTACAATATGTGTCTGTCAGTAGTGTGGTGACAATATGTGGCTGGCAGTCGTGTGGTAACAGTATGTGGTTGTCAGTCGTGTGGTGACAATATATGGCTGTCAGTTGTGTGGTGACAATATGTGGCTGGCAGTCACGTGGTGACAATATGTGGCTGTCAGTCGTGTGGTGAAAATATGTGCTGTCAGTCGTGTGGTGACAATATGTGGCTGTCAGTCGTGTGGTGACAGTATGTGACTGTCAGTCGAGTGGTGACAATATGTGGCTGTCAGTCGTGTGGTGACAGTATGTGGCTGTCAGTCGTGTGGTGACAATATGTGGCTGTCAGTCATGTGGTGACAGTATGTGACTGTCAGTCGTGTGGTGACAATATGTGGCTGTCTGTCGTGTGGTGACAATATGTGGCTAGCATTCCTGTGGTGACAGTATGTGGCTGTCAGCCGTGTGGTAACAATATGTGGCAGTCAGTCGTGTGGTGACAATATGTGACTGTCAGTCGAGTGGTAACAATATGTAGCTGTCAGTCGTGTGGTGACAGTATGTGGCTGTCAGTCATGTGGTGACAATATGTGGCTGTCAGTCGTGTGGTTGCAATATGTGGCTGTCAGTAGTGTGGTGACAATATGTGGCTGGCAGTCGTGTGGTAACAGTATGTGGTTGTCAGTCTTGTGGTGACAATATATGGCTGTCAGTCGTGTGGTGACAATATGTGGCTGGCAGTCGTGTGGTGACAATATGTGGCTGTCAGTCGTGTGGTGACAATATGTGGCTGTCAGTCGTGTGGTGACAATATGTAGCTGTCTGTCGTGTAGTGACAATATGTGGCTAGCAGTCGTGTGGTGACAGTATGTGGCTGTCAGCCGTGTGGTAACAATATGTGGCGGTCAGTCGTGTGGTGACAATATGTGACTGTCAGTCGAGTGGTAACAATATGTGGCTGTCAGTCGTGTGGTGACAGTATGTGGCTGTCAGTCATGTGGTGACAATATGTGGCTGTCAGTCGTGTGGTAACAGTATGTGGTTGTCAGTCGTGTGGTGACAATATATGGCTGTCAGTTGTGTGGTGATAATATGTGGCTGGCAGTCATGTGGTGACAATATGTGGCTGTCAGTCGTGTGGTAACAATATGTGCCTGTCAGTCGTGTGGTGACAATATGTGACTGTCAGTCGAGTGGTAACAATATGTGGCTGTCAGTCGTGTGGTGACAGTATGTGGCTGTCAGTCATGTGGTGACAATATGTGGCTGTCAGTCGTGTGGTGACAATATGTGGCTGTCAGTCGTGTGGTGACAGTATGTGACTGTCAGTCGTGTGGTGACAATATGTGGCTGTCAGTCATGTGGTGACAGTATGTGGCTGTCAGTCGTGTGGTGACAGTATGTGGCTGTCAGTCGTGTGGTGACAATATGTGGCTGTCAGTCGTGTGGTGACAATATATGGCTGTCTGTTGTGTGGTGACAATATGTGGCTGGCAGTCGTGTGGTGACAGTATGTGGCTGTCAGTCGTGTGGTGACAGTATGTGGCTGTCAGTCGCGTGGTGACAATATGTGGCTGTCAGTCGTGTGGTGACAATATGTGGCTGTCAGTCATGTGGTGACAATATGTGGCTGTCAGTCGTGTGGTAACAGTATGTGGCTGTCAGTCGTGTGGTGACAATATATGGCTGTCAGTCGTGTGGTGACAATATGTGGCTGGCAGTCGTGTGGTAACAGTATGTGGCTGTCAGTCGTGTGGTGACAATATGTGGCTGTCAGTCGTGTGGTGACAATATGTGGGTGTCAGTCGTGTGGTAACAGTATATGACTGTCAGTCGTGTGGTAACAATATGTGCCTGTCAGTCGTGTGGTGACAATATGTGGCTGTCAGTCATGTGGTAACAATATGTGGCTGCCAGTCGTGTGGTAACAGTATGTGGCTGTCAGTCGTGTTGTGACAGTATGTGTCAGTCAGTCGTGTGGTAACAGTATGTGGCTGCCAGTCGTGTGGTGACAGTATGTGGCTGCCAGTCGTGTGGTGACTGTATGTGGCTGTCAGTCGTGTGGTAACAGTATGTGGCTGCCAGTCGTGTGGTGACAGTAGGTGACTGTCAGTCGTGTGGTAACAGTATGTGGCTGCCAGTCGGTTAAATTTTATTGAAATCACAAAATAACTGAAGTGACTGGTAGCAACTTGTAAGAATGCCCACAGTCAGCCATTTTGAAGTAAATCGCAAAACACAATGACGGGCGTCGGTAATCTACCACGAATATTGCCAATGTCATATGTGGATGAAATTGATCTCTTCATGACTGCGAAAAGGTTAATAACATAACGAAATGTTGATTGTTTGTGTTATGGGAGGATACATTGGTCACTAGTCAGTCAAAGCCTTTCAAAGCTCGTTGTCTTTATACCTAATTATTTGTTTTTACTACGTTCAACGAGGACTAACATGTGGCCTGCTTTGATAACTACTAATGTATCAAACAATGGAACAGTGTGACGTTCCATACGACATGATACTACAGTAGTGTTATTGATGTTCTTTACAGAGTACATCCATAATAACACATACCATATGTTGCACGGGGAGTGTCAGTGTAGAGTGGATTAGAAAAGGTCAGATAACTCATATTCTCCAGTAAATTCCCCTCCTTGTGTTTAGATCATTTCGCCTGATTGAAGCCTGTTCAATACGCGGGTCTATAATACACTTGTATTTTATAGTAGTATCAGATAAAGTGTAGTGTACCCAGCTTATATTATTTCGAAGCCAAAATGCAAACCACATTTATTTAAATAACAATTAGCAAATACATTTCTTAACACGTGTAAGCATAGGGGACAAATTAAAATTAATTCAACCAGCTTTGCTTAAGTTTGTTTGCTTCTTCCTTGTATATTATGTCACCACTCTACCCATGCACATACGAAAACGTATAGTGATAACAGCCACGCACTGTGTATGTATGACAGCCATACCATAGATTAAAACGACAATAAAGAACTTGATACTAACGAGTAACCACAAGTTAATAGTCACAGAAATATGTTTTATCGGGAATAATAACTATCATTGTGCGTAGATGTATGCGGTATGAGGTATGTAACGTGTGTTTCAATGATGGGGTGGTCTTTCTTGGTTTACTCCATGTTACTTTGTGTTAACACACAACTTGTTCCGTGTCACTTGTCGCCGGCACAAGCTTAATACTGATTAGTCGAACGACTAGCGATGAATAGTCCAACTATCGAGGTTATATAACACACGCGATTGCCTGGCGTACGGTATTAATAATGAGTGTGTATAAAACTGGTTGTATTCACTATGCGGCGTCTATATTCTATGTGATTTTTTTTAATTGTGGTGTCAGGAATAAATTGAACTGATAACAAGTTGAATCTTGATACACATTCCTGATTATTTCCGAGTGGGTTTAGAAATAAGAATTCGTGTCAGTGTAATCATCATAAAGTAGTTTGATGGCACTTGATCCCACCCGAAGTACAAACAACATGAAAAAACATGTGATCGGTAACTGATATTACCATTATGGCTCAAATCACCATTGTCGATAGTATTAAAAACAACTCTTACCATCTTTGGCCGCGATGTCCGTCACTTCTTGGGATGCCACTGCTATTGTGCAAAATAGAACAACAGGTAAAACGTAAATAGTGTCCCGTGTTTGTGTCGGGAAATTTGTTAGTCCGTACATGTGTGACCGTGAACGTAAGACCACGGCTGTAGGCGAGACTCGCACTATATTTGGCATTCCAAACAGCGGACTATCAAAACACACCCCAATCTATCTGCTGACAGATGCGTTGACGGGACGAGACATTTAGCTTTCTGTTCGCATGAAACAACGGTGAATTGCGGTCAGTACTGGTACCATGTAATTCGTCAACTATACATCCATAGCAGTAGATTATTCATCCAATAAATCTGTTGCATTGAATAATTGGGTTAGCTCTTCCTCGTGGTGTGGCTTTTTACATAATTCCCAATAATAACAAATCCCGTTTGCCTATATTAAGACTATATGTCCTATGTATTCCGACCTGCTCGTGTTATTGGGTATGTGCTGCTACATTAGTCTGTTACCGTCTAGTACTCCCTAAGAGTCTGTTAATAAACCCATTGATGGCGTGGTTTCGTTTGATAGAACTTGAGTTATATACCCAGACAACGACATTTGACATTTTATTAATTCGCGTTAAATAAGTTAAATGATTGAACACAAACAGAAATTTATGTGGACATTTATAGGTGGATTGATATATGTGTTCACAGTTTATACGTTATCGAAAAGATTTTAATTAAATAGCGTTATATATTTATACGATTGACAAAAAACACAAATTTCAAATGTCTTGGTATGACCCGTGATCATGAGAGTATGCCGCTAACATAGGTGAATATTGATCACAGGCCACGTGACCATGATAAGTAACTCATATGCAAATTAATTCAAGTCATGTACCAATACGTCTTACGGTAACAGATTAAGTGACGCCGACTATATTACTAAATATTTGAAATTATCAACATAGATATGACATTCATCAAAATTGTGTAATGATCTAGGAAATAAGTATTCAGGCTGGAATTCCCTGTAAAAGGTGGAAAAAAAGCGGCAACATAATAATATCAACTTTTGAACAGAAAGACGTGTAGCTTGAATTCGTGAAATAATTATTTTCACGATGGAGATATAGCATTATATCATCCTTCAGTAATGGAAGTTGTTTCAAGAGAAAATATGAAAATAATCGCATATTTACAACTATAGAAGGGCGGGTAAAGGGTTAATGGTAATCACAGCAACACAGTATTCACACAAAACGTAAAATATATCTATTAGGATAATGTATCTTACCGTCTGGAGAATTTCTTTCACTGCGGGTTTGTGCAATAGGGGGGGGATTTTGCAAGTATATACCATTATAGTTGTCGACACGATGTCTGTTACTAGCATATATAATTTAAATCAGACTCTTGTGTCGGTATTTTACATGAATAAATTATTAAAAAATCACAACTGACTCATTTATTGAATTATTTTTATTAAAATTAATAAAATTATTATTAAATATATTATTATTATTAAAATCATAATTAAAATTTATTAAAATTAAAGTTGAAACATGAATATCACATACAATGTTTTCTGAAATGGTTAATTTTTCATAAATGTGAGGTATAATGACATACATTATTTACTAACTAGTGCTTCAGTTCTTGAAATAATATACTGCCCAAGTCAAAGCCAATTGCGAACATTTTCAAAGTCCATTATTCATATTAGTCACTGGTTACATTAGTCTTGATTGTAACATGACTACACTCGGCATAATTTGGTAAATTTTCAATTCCCATTATGTATTTATGTGTTACACTGACTCACCGAGGTTAGGCAAATTACACATGATTGTATTTAACATTTTGAGATTATCATTTCGGTATGTTGATCAT